TTTGTTAATCTTCCTTTTTATAAGAATACATTAAAAAACTATATAGAATGTACGAACCAATTTAGTATTACAATGTTTATTGTAATAATAATAAATACAGGATTTAAACATAAAATTAAATATATAATTCGCTTAATGTAATAAATTAACCAGGGCCACAAATTATGGAAATAACATTACTTGTTAAATCATAAAAATGATCGAAATTAGAGAGTATTACCAACACAACACGATCTGCTTCATTATTTAATGTGTATTGTATCAATAAGAAATTATTTAAACGCAACAAATGTAAAAATGAAATCTAAAAAATAATTTTAATTATTAGAAAATCTAATTTAACATAATTCAATATTAGTTCATTTATCATTAGATCAATTTTAATTAATAATCAGTTAATGGAATAAAGCTATCTTCAATTCAGTTTTTTTCATTAACAGGCTATTGGAAAACTGAAAAACTTATCAAAACTTTCTTTAGACCTCTGTTATAATTTAAACAATGATTCTATAGACGAAATTCAAGCTAACAAAATATACAAATGGGTGGTTGTCTAGGTCAGGTGAAATCATTCAATTCTATAATTAAATAATCTTACAACAGCAGAATTTTCTTATGATAATTATCTTAATGATGAATTTTTAGTTTCTCTAACTAAACAATGTAATAAATTATCTTATGTAGATATTATCGGTAACAAAATAATACATTAACATATATTACATTACATTACATTACATTGATACATAACTAATTTTAATAAAATCGATTTTAACACACACATTGATGTTTTCAGGGTGTAAAGTAATCGATATCGGCGTTTCTTCAAAAATATAACTAATAACTGCTTTTTATAACTTATACAAATATTTGAACGTTTAGAGTTACTCAACACATATTATTGCAAAATTTATAATTCAGCAATTATGAGAGCAGTAACAAATAATAAGAAGAGAACAAATAATATCATTTTAAAAATTTACGTGCGAGGAACGTGAATAAAAAGGAAAAAAATGAAAGATTTATCCTCGTTGTTACAAATAATTTATACTCGTAGGTACTGCAAAGATTACATGAATTGAAATTGTAAAAATTATCATTATTAATGTAAGAATATTTTTATTTATAAATCTCAATTATAAGCATGTAAAATACGATAGGTTATGGTTGAATATCATTTGTTCGTAATGAAAGTTGCTTAATAATATCACGAATTGCTGTTTATGAAAATTGCAGAATAAATTTTTTTACATTAATCAAAGAATAACTTAAGTATATTAATTATATTACTATTAAAAGCTAAAGTACTTAGATACTATATGATGAGTTGACGAATGAATGACGTTCGTAAAAAAGTATTATTATGTTTTAATTAAATTGTTAATCATAAACGATACTCAATAACATATGTTTTCGTTTGTGTAAAATGTATGTATCGTTGTATTAATTAATATAATTACGTTTTTGATATTATATATATATATATATATATATATATATATATATTAGCATTCTAAAATGAGAAATATTTTAGTGAAGTAGGGGTTATTAAGTTGCAAAATAAAAAAGATTTTGTTAAAAATTATTTGACTTCGTCATTCATAAATAGTTAAGTAAAATTAATTTAAAATACAAATTAATTGCTTTTACTATCCAATTATTAATATAGATTACAAGTATAATTAAGTAAAATTGTGCCAAATATGAATTGTGCCAGATTATAAATTAAAACTATCCTAGACTTTATTTAATTTAAATTTTATATTTACTTCAATATATTATTGATAAAACATTCATAGTTTACCATCTAATATATATTTAATTCGTATTTCATGAAATAAGTAACAAATATCCAATACTAAATTAGCTTCTTATACTTATACCATTACTTTTATTATCTTTTCCTGATATCTTGTTATTGCTTCATTATCCTATGTGATAATGAAAACAATTTACAGCAATCGAAATCAATTTGAAAAAATTCATACTCTCATTAGTTATCATAACTATATAATAAAATCGTAATAATGTGATTAAGATAATTAAATTTCATAACAAGCTAAAAAATACTTTATGTACTGTTCGGGATTGATGCAGTCCCATGAATTTCAAACGACAGAAAGGTAATACCCGCTGTCCGGCGTACAGCATGTGCGCCTAGACTGGCACGCACGTGCGGACCGGGACGCGCACTCGAGCGAATGTTTACAAACAAAACTCGGCAAGTCCGAGCAAGTTTTACGACCCGAAATCTAATATACTATAAGATCACACAAGGGTATTACGCCTACTTTTCTCTCGTCGAACATATCGAAGGTTCGAGATTTTTCCTTTGACGCCTCGTGTAGGAATTAGTGCAACAACGACGATGCCTTTGTTACCAGCTAAGTGAGCCGCCGCGTGGCTATATAAGGGACACTCTCTCGCTGAAAATCCCTCTCGCTGAAAGCCTCTTGCTTGCTAACCGGCTCCTTTGCCGAACCACCCTCGCTCAACTGCGCTTGCGGCTAACATCTTGCCCTGATCCGACAGCAGTGACACCGACCATAGTGGACCGATCTAACCATCTACCAGTAGAAGCCATGGAACGGTCGGTATTTTCAGCAGAGCCACCACGGAACGAACGATCAAGCCTTCGCTTCGTGCGCGTATTCAAAAGGCTCATTGTATAATATCACTTCGCGTTCACTCAAGTGCTCAATTGCCGCTTAGTCTTTTCAATATACTGTGAAGACGACGCGTGGCCATATTTTCGGCAGCATAGTTAAGAATACACGCGTGCATAAGAATAAGAAATCGGCAGATTAGATAGTGATTACAGTGAAGCCAATGGAATAATAATCAAAGGGAATATTAATTAAACAGCAATCAACAGACTTTCTCAGCACTTTACAAAGGTACCTATTTTATATTAATAAATAAACTAGTCACATCTAGCACAAGAAAACCTGGGCAATTTCGTATCCCCTGAAGCAGTCGACAAGTGATTAGCACGTGGTCGTGCATTCTCTGAAATAGTCACCAGGTGACGAGCACATGATCGTGCATTCTCTAAATAGTCAACTGAATGAGGCAACAAGTCAAGGCCAGACTTCAGTATATCGACTGATTAACAATACGGACATTTTCAAGATATCCTTAAGATTTCTAAGGTTTATAATAAATGATACTTGCATGTGACTAGCTCTTCTACCGTTCCCCTAAAATAATTAAAGACACAATTGATTACGTAATATATTCCATTAAACATCTTACACCATATCAAGTAT